GCCGCGGGTGTCACATAGCGCCCAGGTAAGTCCACCGCACCTCATTACCATGGCCACCACCCAACCTCTCCTCCCCCTAACGCCTACCTTTCTACCTCTAGCGCTAAGGCAGCGCTGAGTGTCAGGTGCTGCTCGAGCAGCATAACGCCCAAGGAGTGGGAACTCCTGCCTTACCAGGACCTGGACTGGCCCAGCTAGATATACCGCTGGGCTTGACTGGGATGCCCACGGTCTGCAATCAGGAGTGTCGGATCTGTGGTCAGATCGGTGGTCCAGGTTGCAGGCCAAAGTCCTGCTCCTCTGGTCCTAGGCCAAAAACGGCCTGCCTCGGTCCCTACCAGACGTCCAGGCCCTTCTGTTTATGTAGCAGGGAATGTCCGCTACTGGACGACTCCGAACCTGGCCTAAAGCGGCCCAGTCGCGAACCTGGCCTCCAAGAGGCCCAAAACATGGTCCTGGTCCGAACATACAATAGTCTGTTCAGACAGGCTGCAAAGTCCGAAACCACGCCCTCGAACAGATAAAAGTAGACCAGACGAAGGAGTCAGCAACAATAAATAAACAATGCAATTGAATGCATAAAAAATAAAAGAGATGCTGAATCCTAAGGGGGCACGCGTGGAATACCTGCTGCGTGCCTGGTCCAAAACTGAGGCCCAAGGCCTCAGCGCCCGTCAGCTCCCGCAAGGGGCCCGTGTACAGGGGCTAGCTAGCATGCTACATGTACAAAGGTGCTGCAAACATTCCGGTCTGCCTCTTGCACACTTGCACTCACTTTCTTCCCGCATATCTTCTGGTGGTATGGTTTTGGACAGAACACCAGAAATTTATCAACCATCCAGGGAGAAGATCCTGATGCATACAGAGTGCATCTCATCTCCATGAGGCCGATGCTATGTGGGAGGAGGAGGAAAAGACAAAGCGGTGGAGTAGGATGAGGCGCAGAAAGAGGACCAGAAGCAGCAGCAACGGCAGCGATAGAAGAAGGAGAGGGAAGAGGCGGAGGAGGTGCAACATGAAGAGAAGGTGGACAATGATAAGCAACAGGGCTAGACGGTGTAAGAGGAGGGCAAAGAGGGACAAGTGGAATGGCGAGGGAACGAGTCTCAGGAGAAGGAAAGGAACACAGATCAGTGAACATCCTTTTGGTGCTCAAGACCTCAGTGCTTTGAATTTTGAATCACATGCCATTCACATTCCCTTTTTGCTGCTTAGCAAGTTAGCACCTTGTTGCTTTGAAGTATTACAAATTCGTCCAAAAAAAAACAGAAACCTACCTACCTGCTTGTATTCTGGTGTCAATATTCAGTTGTCTCCTGTTCTTCGCTGCATCAAAGGAGATACCCTGAGCCAGGCATTGGAAGCAATCATATAACTGACAATCCTTTAGTCAATGCGCTTTACTGAGTTATATCCGGGAGGCCTGCCTGTGATTACCTCCAGACATAAAGTTACACACAACCGTCACAAGGCTCAGGTTGCGCTTTTGCTTTACGTTTCTTTGCCGGTTGAAGACTTTCAAGACTAGATCACATTAAGGTTTTGAGTCTTTCGCCAGTAGTTCCAGCTCTCTATGTCTCGTATCGTACTTCTCCTTCGACGCCAGTTTCCTCTGACCATTATACCACACCCAGGCCTCCTTCAAATGCTTCTTCAGATCAGTGTGGCACTCGTTGGAGAAATCTTGTTCTCGCAATCTTAGAATTAGGATCCTCAGCCTAGTATATGAATCTCTTGCTGCCCAGATTCTGGTTGTCCTCTGCTTTTGCTTCTGATGTGTACCAATCAATTGCCTCGGCCTGTTCCGAAGACTGCACTAGATTCTTATCAAGGGTAATGGTGGTTTCAACCGTTTTCCCAATGTGCTTATGATTTGCAATCGCCTCGGCTGTCGCATGGAGAATCCCGTCAGCATCTATTTTGATCACAACCCGAACACAAGGATCTGAGATTGCTGACCTGCGCGTGAAACCATCCAGAGTAAGTTCACCCAAAAACGAGTTATTGGCACAGAGGGCACGTTCGCCTTCGTATTATTTGGCCACAAGAGACTCCGCGTAGTCCACTAAAACATACATCGCACTTCCGGTGGCTGGAAGGGGAGAGTTTCTTCGGACAACAACACGCATAATGCCAAACATTGTCTTGACCCCGATGCTTACCGGTGTCACATCGTGAACCGATATGCATGCCTCTGTGCACTTGTCGCTTCTTGCCAGCAAGCCGGCCTGCACAGCAGCTCCGAATGCCACAGCCTCATCAGGGTGAACGGACTTGATGGGCGGCTTGCCAAAGAATGCCGTCAGCATCTCTTGCACCTTCGGGATCCTCGTGGATCCACCCGCCAGCAGCACATCCGAGATCTCACCCCTGCTGATCTTCGCATCAGAAAGAGCTTGTTCCACGATCATCATGCACCTGTCAAACAGCTCTTGATTGAGTGCCTCGAATTTGGCGCGGTCCAATGTCAAGATGAGGATTTCTTCGCCACCGCAATCCAGGTCGATCTCTGTCTCGGTTTTAACGGACAGATCATGCTTGGCATCCACAATCAGCTGGTTGAGCTTTGTGTGAATCCTTGGCTTTACCAGCAAATCCTCCCCTTGAAGCTGAATCTTGAACTGCTCCACCACATGCTGAAACAGCCGTTTGTCTATGTCAGTGCCCCCGAGAATGAGAGTCTCCCGCGACTGCTTTCACTACAAAGCTGAAGTCCTCTTCAGGCCCTACCTTCATTGTGACAACCGACACATCGAAGGTTCCCCCACCCATGTCAAAAACSAGGACGTCCGTCCTTCCCACCTCTACACCCTTGCTAAACCAGACGACCGGGYTGCTTTCACCTCCACTCCCTCCATGTTGGCTCTGGCCTTCGTTCTTCGGGCACTGATTTTCATAATGCCCTTGTTCGCCGCACCTACAGAGCCTTACCACCTGTCTTCCTCCTCCACCATTGCTACTCCCTACCAACCGCTGACGCTTGTACGGTCTTTCTCCTCCAGCCTTGCTACTACCCATCWAACGCTGATAGCCATACGCAAGAGCGGCAGCCGTAGGTTCACTCATCAGTCGCAACACGTTTAAATTGCACTGACCCCGGCAGCCATAGTCGCCTTCCTCTGAGGGTAATTGAAGTACGCCGGTACACTGATGACTGCATCCTTAATTGGACGGCAATTGGTGTAGTCCTCGGCAATGGACTTCATCTTCTTCAGCAACAAGGCGGAAATGTCTTCAGGTTGGAATTTCTTCTCACAGACATTAACAATAACTTCGCCAAGTGGACCGGATGACAACTTGAAAGGCCATCTCTTTGCGTCCCGCTCGACAGTTGCATGGCGGAATGATTG